TGCCGCCTGAAATGTTGTCGGATTCCTGGATATCACATACTTTCGAAGATTTGCCTCCAATCCCCATATATACTTTCTTACCTTACTGTTTTCGGATATAATATAGGCTTCGGCAAATCTAGATTGTTCCATGAACACTTCAGTATACTGGCGAACTGACATATTTCCTTGCTCAAGACGAAGGAAGTCATCTTCCAATTTTCGAACTGCAGCTTCGGGATAATACTGCATCTTAAATTTTACCACAAATTCTTCTCAAATCATAGTTTTCAGAATATTCGGATCTGAACTAGACAGAACTTCCCACCAGTACAAAGCACTTGATCTCAAACGAGATACAGCAAACATAACTTTATCTTCTTCTGCACTTTTACTAATTTGCAGACTCAGCTCAATCTTCTTAAGCTAGCACATAGCTTTAATAGGATCACGTTCACCAGAAAATTTAGGAGGTTTACACGCAAGAAACATCTTGATATCTCCTCCCTTTTGTTCTGAGGATGCAGTAATAGGTACAGATGTACCAGTTACCGGTGTACTAGCTCCGACTTCCTCTTGCTTAGAATTTCTTTCCACATTTGGATCAGTTTGGTTTGTATGTTTTAACAAATTTACCAAACTCTCCAGAAATTTTCCCAGCTCAGCTGCCAACATATCTTGAGTAATATATTCAGGGTTGGAAACATTATGTCCACCCCTCGCTCTTCCTCGACCTCGGCCAAACATTGAACTTTCTTGAGCCAAAAATTCATGTTCCCCACGAGTTTCTTGTCTAGTACCTCAACCTCTTCCTCGTCCTCTATTACGACTTCGTGTTTCTATTATATTTTCTGGATTCTCTTCTTGCGTAACATTCCTTCTTCCCCGACCTCTTCCATAGCCAGCAGAGGTCCTTTCCGATTGATTGGGATTATCTGCCATTTCTCAGTACGTAATCTTTTCTGTCACATTTAAACACACATGATTATTCTCATAATCATAACACATTTATCCTCATGCCCACTCATAACTCAGATTATATCAGTCATATATAATCTACCTTTCTCATAATAGTTTCAGTTATGACATATTCTCATGTTCATAGACCCAGTGAAACTTATTATCTTAACTTTCCACACCTCTAGTTTAAGTATAAGTATTTCGCAAATACCCAGATCCCTTAAACTAAGGCTCTAATACCAATTGTAACAACCCTCATATTCCATATACATAAAATTCACATCATCATATTCATAATACTAAAATAGTATCATTACAAAACTTAGACTATCAAAATGTATCCTTAATACATAAACGAGTAAACTATTATCATCATTCAGACTTTTCCTTTGCCTTTATCTTTCAACATACGCTGATCTGCAAAACAGGTTAGTCCAACATCTGAGTGTTAGACCAAAAGGTCTAGTGAATGTATAATCTCATATAACAATATACATTCCAAACAATCAGTTTAGAATCAAACCTGTTCCGAAACATATCATATTTATGTTTCTCGTGGTTACACCGCCATTACAATCTCGTATCTCTTTCTCACTCGCGGTTACACCGCTAATATATCACTCTCGCGGTTACACCGTCATCTCACTCGCAGTTACACTGTCATTATATCACTCTCGCGGTTACACCGCCATCTCACTCGCAGTTACACTGCCATTATATCACTCTCGCATTTTCCAAAAACATTTCTCCTTTCATCCGGATTTGAAATCCGGTCAGACTTGTCCGGCTTAGATATCCGGTCAATATACTTTAAACATAAACCAACTCCTTTGTCCGGATTAGAAATCCGGACAACACTTTACTTACTTTGTTATCCGGTTTAAAATAAATCGGATAATACATAGACTAACCATTGACCGGTTTAAAGTAATCCGGTCAATACACCGTACGACACTTGAGCGGTTTAAAAGTATACTGATCACCTCTTGAGCGGTTTTGATAAATATCCGATCACCACTTAGCCGGTTTATAAGTTATCTGGTCACCTCTTGTCCGGTTTAAACAATATCCGGACAAGGCATGGGGGATTTAAGTATCCGGATATCAATCCGGACACTACTTGCACGGTTTACATGAATCATCATCAAAAATGCAACCAAATTCATAATAATCAGTTCTAAATGCTTATCAAACTGTATGTAAGCAATTCATATCCAAAGCTCTTAATACACTCACATTTTTGAAGTCAAATAACAAAGCTTTGAAATCCTCTTCCTGTGCAATCSTTCAAAACTTCAGAGAAACTTTCCAAATATGGTATATGTATGTATGTGTTTTTCTTTCATAAAACTTCTATATATGCATATTATTAAAAGAGGAGAGGATGGCGGCTCAATAAGCCGACCTCCCTCTTTTAAAATATTATTCCATTAAACACATATACATATTATACATATTATATCATACACATATATATATATATATATATACAAACCTGAAATAATAACCAGAATATTACATTGATCGTTCATTCGATGTCGATATGTTTTGCTATTACTCTTAATTGAGAATGCATGATGTAACATTCGTTGTGACAACTCAACTTCGGGTAATTCAAGCTCCTAACCACCTATGGGGGTACCATATGCACGTCATTGTGGCACCGATGGCGTGACACTAACCGTGGTAGTGTGATCAGTCCATGGCGTCTCCTTTTTTGGTACTCTTGTGAGAGCTATTTTGGTATGATGGATATTAGATTTAGGAGGCATATGGGTCGGCCCTAACACATGTGATTCTTTGTAGGGTGGATGTTGGTGTAGTGTCCAACGCCACATCTCACATTTAGTACGGTGGATCTGCAGTCCAACGTACAGACTTGTGTGGCCATATGTCTAACACTCGTCTTGTTGGTTGACATGCAAGTGTATGCGTTTTTCGAGCCTGATTTGTCCCTTCATATGCTTTCGTATGAATATGTTATTTGTTGATTTCATTATGACTTTAATACTCGTTTTGTCCAATATCTTGAGATCAATTTTGGTGTGTTATATTACCCTTTTACTATAATTGTTTATCTGCTCATTGGGTTTTTGGCTCCGTCGTGTCTTCTTTTGTTCCTCGCGGCAGGTAAACAAGGGGGCCGACTAAGTTTTGTGACAGAGATTAAACCAGGATTTTGGTTTCAAAGGTTTCGAGGGGTTTAGTGCTATGTTATTTTAATTATTAAAATTTATTCATTTTTTGGCTATTAGAATAAATTTTCTTTTAGGGTTGTTTTTAGATTTTCCTTGAGTTGTTGGAAGATTCTGAAAGTAGTTTGTTTGAAGACATTTATTTCCTTATTTGGGATATATTCAATTTCGTTATTGGAAAATTGCATTTTATTTTTGTATCCGAGACTATATTTTAGAGGTTTTATATATCGCCTCCGTTACGTTTTGAAGCGACATCTCTTCCTTCGAAACGAGGGTGTTACAGTTAGACATACACTATCCCATAATGACAATTATCTAAAAAGGAATCTTGTGTGTCTCGCATTAATTCATGACATATTAATAGATTTAAGAGTGTTTTTCGTAAATTATATTGGGTGGAATATCCACAAGATTCCGTAGACAATAATAAAATGACAAGAACAAAACAAATTTTCCCAATGAACATTCTTTTTAGTATTTTATTGCAAAAAAAAATTAAAATCTCTATAATTTTTTAAGAGTAAATCACGTTTTTGGTCCCTGTGGTTTTAAAGATTTCTATTTTTGCCCTCATGGTTTTAAAATTATAATTTTCAACCCTATGGATTATAATTTATCATATTTTCGTTCTTATAATTTAAAATTTATTGGTCTTTTAGTTCTTATGGTTTACGATTCATTTCTATTTTAAAGCTTCATACTTGAAAGTAGTGTTTTGGACTCAATGATGAAAATAGAAATAAACTCTCAAGTATAGGAATGAAAACCAAAATTTTGAAACTACAAGGACTAAAAACGTAATTTACTCTTTTTTAAATTTCATAAAAAAGAATATTGTGTGGATCAAGACCTACTGAAAATAAAATCTGGAAGATGGCCGTCGACGGAGTGGTGGTGGTGATGGTGCCGTTCGTAGCACACGGTCATCTCAACCAACTCCTTCACCTCTCCGCCCTCGTATCTGCCTACAACATCTCCGTTCACATCGTCTGCACCACCGCCCACCTCCGCCGATCTCGCTACCGCCTCCACGGTTGCTCCGCCGCCGCCTCCAACCGCATCCACTTCCATGAATTCCCAACTCCTCCTTTCACTTCCCCACCTCCAAACCCCTCCATCCCCTTCCCTTCCCACCTCCAATCGTCCTTCGATTCAACCCTCCATCTCCGTCGTCCTGTCGCCGATCTCATTCTTTCTCTCTCACACACCGCCACCAGAGTCGCCGTCGTCCACGACGTTCTCATGTCTTACGTCATTCAAGATGTCCAATCGATACCAAACATCGAGACTTTCACCTTCCGTCCACTCTCCGCCTTCTACACCTTCTGGGATTCTTGGGAAAAATCCGGCAGACCGTTTCCGGTTGACCGGAAATTGCTAGACCGGCTTCCTTCTCAAAATGGAATCACCACTCCAGAGTTTAAGGAATTTGCAAAACTTCAACAACCCCACATGAATCTGGACGTCGGAGAGCTATACGATTCGTCCAGAGTTATCGAAGGCGAATTTATTGAATATCTAGAGAGAAAAGAGATCTCTCGGGGAAAAAGGATCTGGGCTATCGGACCGGTTAATCCAGTCCACATAACATCTCATGTGACAGTTACAGAAAACCATCACAAATGTTTGCAATGGCTTGACAAGCAACCTGCTAATTCTGTTATTTATGTCTCTTTTGGGACGACAACAACCTTCAGTGACGACCAAATAAGGGAAATCGCTATCGGGTTGGAGAGAAGTGAACAAAGGTTTGTTTGGGTGGTTCGAGCCGCAGACGTAGGGGATGTGTCTGGGTTCGAGGATAAGACTGTCGAGTTGCCAGACGGGTTCGAAGAGAGAGTGAGAGAGAGGGGATTGGTGGAGCGGAGGTGGGCCCCGCAATTGCAGATTTTGGGGCATTCAGCTACGGGTGGGTTTTTGAGTCACTGTGGGTGGAATTCATGCATGGAAAGTATATCGATTGGAGTGCCAATGGCGACGTGGCCAATGCACTCTGATCAGCCAAGAAATGCAGTTTTGATTACAGAAGTTCTTGGGATTGGTGTGGTGGTTAAAGATTGGGAGTGTAGAAACGAGTTGGTTACGGCTGCGGTGGTGGAAGAGGCCGTGAGAAGGCTTATGGGTTCGAAAGAGGGGGAGGAGATGCGGAGCAGAGCCACCGTGTTGAGTGATGACGTCAAGAAATCGGTGACAGAAGGTGGTGTTGGCCGTTTAGAGATGGATTCGTTTATTTCCTATATAAATAGATAGATGCTACTTTATAAAGTGTTGTTAAATGAACCCATTTTTAATTCAAATCCTACGTTAAAAATGTGTAAAAAAGGGATTGATTGATTGATGTTGGTTCATAAGAGCAGGAATAATGACACAAGAAATAATATGACTTTTATAAAGTAAAGATCCAAAAATAGGTTAACGGTATCTATCGGAGGAACATAAGAAAGACGATAATAAATACAGAAGTTGTGTATGATCTTACAAAGTTCAATCTTTTCTCAAAAAGTATTAGAATTATTTATTTAATGAAGTGTTGAATAAGCATTTCAATCTAAACAAATTCTGACATTTATATGGGACACCTGCAAATTGTCCTCAACACTGTTCAAATATGCTTCTTCCAAGATTTAGGCATGGGAATGGACTTCGACCCATCGGGAACCCGTTTCACCCTCCCCAGTCGGGGACGGAGATTCCTCGCTAAATCGGGGATGGGACAGGGATTTCCGTTTGTCTCAAACCGGAGATGGGGACGGGGACAAATATGGTACTCCCCGCCCCGTACCCGTTATATATATATATATATATATATATATTATTTTAACTAAAGCGGTAATTCATAATTTCTTATTTTCTAACTAGGTTTATAACCTAAAATTATTATATTTTATTTTCTAACTAGGTTTATAACCTAAAATTATTATATTTTAAATGTTAATATGTAATATTTTGGATGTCAAGTCAAAATACAATTACTCGATAAGTTCTGTATATTACTCGATATAGTTTATATTACTCTTATCTTTTTGTACATGTGGCTTTAATTTTTTTTGAATTAAATTGAATTTTTTTTTTTTGTAGATTATTAGTTCTTATATGATGTTATGGTTTTTATCAAAATAAATTCATTTTGGTTTTAGTTTTATTAAAAATGTTTAAAATTTAAACATGTATAATCTCACATATTTAATTTAAAATAATTTACATAAATGAAAAAAAAATCCCCATTTCCCTATTGGAGATCCCCATTCCCCGTTGGGGATGGGGATGTGACTATATTCCCCGACAGAGATGGGGATGGGTATGGGAACGGGGATAGAGATAAATAATCGGGGAAAAGGATTAAGGTCCCCGCCCCATTCCCATGCCTACCAAGACTGTCTTTTCACTTTTTACAGGCAGTTTATCAAACCTTTACCTTAGAAGATGGGTATGAAAAGGATCTGAGAATTTTACTGGTACAAAACATAACAATCGCAGAATAGTGTTTGGGACCAGGACTGATTAGTCCAAGACCGATTTTTAGCCATCTCTCCATTTAATCGGTTTTTGGGCTCGGCCCTATAAGGCCCACTTCAACCAAAAAAATAAAAACTGGTCTAGACCAATCCTTAACGGTCACTAACCCACAGTAACAAAAAAAACTCAAATCAATAACCTGAATATAAACTTCTATCATAAATAAATAACAAGAAACAAAAAAAAAGTCCGTCTGACAGTGATACTACCAAAAATGTGACTCAGTTGAAAATGATTTGCTAGAAAACCTCCAGTTGCAACTCCTTTTGAGCCACAAAAAACCTATGATTTGTTATCCCATCAACACGATCACACAACAAATTCAGTAAAGAATACGCGCTACTGAAAATTTTGGCCCGGGCAGCATGTATACGATAACGCAAGTGCGAAAACGGATCATACCCCAGGTCTAGCTTTCTTGCTTGCGGATTTTGTGGTAGCTTTCTTCTTGGCTTCTCTCAATGCTTGTCTTTTATCTTCCCTGCATAACCCCAAAAAATACCCACTTTTAAGCACAATCACAAAGAAACACAACCAAACCCGGTACATCCCACCTAAGGTAGAAAAGCTTGCCACTGAGGTTGTTTTTGAGAAGACCCCGGCTTCCCAAAAGGGTAAGTAAAACAAACAGAAAGCCCAAATGAAACCACATATTGGTCAAAAATAATTTGTTCTGTTTTCTTTTTGAAGACCGGAGTATAGAAGAATGCAAAAATCCTACCTAGCTAGCTAAATAAACATGGGGTATTTCAAGGAGGATGTATGCACAACTTATCTCCATCTCTTGCCAAAAGGGAAAGTAAAACAAACAGAAAGCAAAACTGAAGCACTAATTAAGGAGAAATCAGGGTTCTTTTGTTTTCTTTTTGACAACGGGATTATAGATGAATTCAAATAGCTAAACAAACATGGGTATTTCAAATCGCTATAAGTTGGTATCAAAGATTACACCACTCACCCCTAAAAATAATTGCAATGTTTAGATAGGTGTATGTTTTATATAACATCTTATCGACGACTTAAATAAAAAAATGTGGCAACTCAACATTTGAAGACAAAAATTGTTCCATTTTTTAGGAAAAGCAGTTGGTACCAAAGACAGAATGTCAATACAGATGGTTATGAAAAGAGAACCTACCTGGCCTTCGAGATCTCTTCTCTAGGAAGAGGTTTGAATTTCTTCCTCTTCTCTTTGGGGGCAGGTTTCTCTTCGTTCTTTCTTTTAAGAGAACCGTTATTTGTTGTTGAGCTTTTATTCCCTTTTTTCAACATCTCTTTCCTCTGAGGCTTAGGAATTTCCGCTTCAGGATTCTCTGTGGTGCTAGGTTCAATCTCAGAACCTTCTTCAACCACTTCTTCTACTTCAGAAGCTGCTGCTGGAACTCCCTTCGAATTACTCATTTTCTTCAACTGCAATATGAAATTGAATATAAATGATCCACACATTAATGAAAGCCCAATTATGTGCAACTCCTTCACAGACTGGACGTTATGGTTCTCGTCACATACAATTAATGGAACTCCAATTTATGTTCAAAACTGTAAAAGAAATGAGCACAAAGATCGGTCCTTCGGACCAGACCAGTCATTTATAGGACCAAATAGAGCCTAGTTCAGACTCGTATTTTTAGGACAAGATAAAACCTGGTTCGGATAAACACTCATAAACACCTTTGACCAGGTTTTGACTAACCAGACTTTTTTCACCGGTCCGTGGTCATTTTTAAACTGTACAGAGAACTAGAATATTCCCATGTATTAGAGAGCAATCAGTCACACAACTTCAGCACAAGTTAGGCACTGCTGATAATGACATACCTTTGCGACAAAAAAACCATCCATGTTATGAACGTGTGGATAGAAACGTCTCGTTTTTTCCAAAGACGGATGAAATCGGCGTTCCCTAAAGCGAACAAACCTACAAAGATAACAAATCTTTAGGCACAATTATCCATATCTATACTATATTATAAAGCACTTAGGTTTTTGGTCATAAGAACTCTTAAGTTAAAAGGCATTAAGTATATTATAAAGCATTTAGGTTTTTTGGTCATAAGAACTCCTAATACATACAAAATCTTTCAATTTCTAAATATTCCTATTTTGTACTTCTTTAAATGTTAATAATGAACAGAGGTTTTGGAAACTTCTACTAGCTTCCCAATAAACAATAAAATATTGAGATTTTAGGAAATATCATCTCATATATGATCCAGGAAACAAAAGTTCATAGAAAATAAACTTAAAACAATTCAATTTACAATTAAATTAAAATTTTACATTCTGCTGCATTGCACAGATAGACTTCTGGTATATATATTATACATTCATAAAAAATAAAAAGACTGGGAGAAATTAACAGTACCCTGGGCGACCAAAGTCTAATCCACATGGCACAAGTTTCACATCCCTCTTCTTGAGTGCATAGTCTATAACATCTTCATTCTGCAAGATTACAAGATTAAGAAGAAAATGAAGTTGGTGTGCTAAAAATATGGTATGGACAGAAAATACCTCAATAACCATCATAAATATTCAAGATACCTCGATAACCATCATAGAGCATGTTGAGTAAACCACATAACCCCCTGATTTTGAATTTGCATCCACCATATCAATTGCTGCAAGTATTAGTTCCTGCAAAAGAACAAATTGAAAATGAAGCTCTCATACAAGACTGTGACGAAATATAGAGAAATATATATAATATATGCCAAATAATTTAGATATGAATGCAAAAATTGGTTCAAATAACAAGCTCCTTTCCACTATTTAATGACATCATCAAAGTTTTAGAAGCATAATAACATAGCCATTTCTCTTTCATGCTTCGCAGTCCGCAGTAAATCATGATAATCTCCTCCCTACATCACCCTCAAACCAACTAAGTTAAAACCAAGGAATTTAAGATATAACATTGCAGGCAAGAGCAAGCCCACTATACTACAAAGAAACATGTTTCTCTAGGAGAAGACAGTTATGCTTATAATGGAAGATGAGAATAGCTGCATCACAAAGGTGTCCACCTATTCTCAACAAACCACCATCAGTGAGACATAAAGATTAGTTTAAGCACCCTCCCGATATTATCGGATATCGGACCTAGGCAAAATATCGCTACATAAATATCGGTCAAAATATCGTCCCCGATATTATCGACGATATTTTCCGATTTTTTCCGATATTTAGCGATATTTTGATGTATATATCAGACCAATATATCGATTTTTTAGCGTTCAATTATTTGGACTTTTGTTATTTCATGGGCTTAGTTTTTTGGGCTTGGTAACATAATATTAGGTCTGAAATTAATAGTCTGTCTTCCAACGGTCTTCTTCCTTTCTTTTCATCTTTACAACTTCACACTTCACAGACACCTAGTTCACTTCACGAATCACGACTTCAGACTTCTCACAACTTCAGACTTCTCACGGAGTCACGGTTTGGCTTCTYTTCTCGGTCTCCTCTGCTTACCAAGTTGCTACAGKCACARCAGCAACCGGCAGCAACTGTTGGCGTTGAATGTTTATACAGCCTATAGCAACAGCAATCGACAGCAACAGCAGCCACCTGAGTTCCTGCCTTCCTGGTCAACTCAGCCTCCAACAGTTCCTCAATACAGTCTAGTGACTCCGTGATGTTTTAATTTTGAAACTATATTTCTAAACTCTAATTAATGCATATTATATATATTTTATTCTAAGAAATGTTATGTTAACCGCTATTTTGGACCGATATATCACCGATATAACTGATATATCGAATATCGGTCATGACCGATATTTTGTATTCTGACCGATATAACAGCATAGCCCTCCCCACATCACTAAAGATGCATCAATTTCTGTTTTTTCTCATATTGTAATGTTAGATGTGGTTGAGATGTGATTGATTTTCTGATTTGAACTTAAAAAAATTTAAAGGTAAAGGAATTTTTTTTTACATCATCTAGCAATTATAGAGGACCCCACTCTCGCAAACTAACATCTTGACGAGCTGATCAAACAGACCTAATTTAAAACAACCTACTGTACACATAAAAAGAATTAAGGTGTTATGCACTGGCCCAAACCCAGGCCCAATAGTCGGAGTGATATTCTAGAAGAGGTAGTTCAGGTATTTTGATCCTAGAATCTGTTATGGCTGTGAATAAATAGGGAGTTAGTGAGAATGAGGGATCATGCAGAAAATTGTCCAGAGTTCTGTTTAGGAGACTAGCCTCTCGAATGCTAGAAACTGTTCCTTTATATTGTTAATTGAATCATCAGTCACTTGTTCTTATCTCCTGGATATTACTTCCATTGTTTAATCGGCCCAGTTCATAACATAAGGCTATAGAAAACCCATTATAAAAAACGAAATCTCTGAGGACAGGAACCCATAAAAGAAATTTAGGTGAATTTCAAGTTCATTAACCAAACAAGGCAGAATATAGGACAACTGCTTACAAAAGAAACTAAACATTAAAGAGTGGGACCTAGAACAATCCAACAAAATACCAAACTAGGGAGACATAAGCACTTCTACCAAACATGAAAGGTACTCCATCTGACTATTCCCCTTCCCTCGTCCCATCTCTTCTATTTTCAATCATTTGCTTACATGTTTTAACTTCTCAAAAAGCAAAATTTACAGTCCACATTTCAATTGTCATTTTTATTTTTTTCACCTCTCACAAAAAAAACAGCTTTGTAACACTTGGCAAAAACTTGAACATAGTGTGAAAAGCTAAACTAGCAACCCCTACATACAACCAAAATCCAAACTCTGAGCTTTAACATAGAATCATCCAGATATTCCATTTCTTCTAGAAGTGATATGCACCAGTATGGTCAATCTGACTATGAATGCAAGTAAACTATTTCCTTCTACAAACCTTGTTTCATTACAAAATAAATAGCTTCCAAGTCATTGATCTTTGTGTAAAACATGGTATAGACTCATTCAAGTTTCGTTGCCAGATGTGATTAAAGAATTGCGAGATTTTGCCTTTATCTTAAGAATAGTCACTAATAACCATAAAGTCATCTTGCAACTTTAGAGCAGCTACCGATGCGTAAACATGACAATAATTTTAAGAATGAATGAAGTTTGTTACTTGAAAGTTGTTAGGTTCAGCATGGCAGTTTATACTAATAATTATTAATATCTTACCTGACTGCTTTAATCTATATTAACTAATGATCTTCCATAAGAATCTTATAACCATCAGCACATATACCATACAAGTTAAAGTAAAAAAAATTAGAGTACCTGAGACCTTGAAATAATGAAAAGGTAAGAAACATAAGGAGTACGAAAGTGAAAAGCATAAGCAAATTTTTTCTTCAAAAAATGAACAATGAATGATGCAGCACTGCTTAAGTCACAAAAATCTAATATATTTAACTCATAGAAAGGCTCTGGATACCTTCTGTAGACGCGAACAGTTCTGTACATCAACAGCATTTTTAGAGGTTTTGACAGATTCATCTTTAGATATCACCTGTACAAATTAAACATTCTTCTTATTCAACTGAAAAGTACAGACCTGATACAAATGTTGAGCAAATACAGCTTAATTCTTACCCCAGTACCACTGCAAGGGGCATCCAATAAAACCCTATCAGCTGTGTTATGTCCCAAAACCTTGGGGAGCTGAAGTTAGATTGAGAAAAAAGAAAAGTGAATTAGAAAAGACCCAGAAAACGAAATAACATATCAAGGATAGGCATGAAGAATAGCAAACAAAGATGAAGATTGTGCGTTTAAAAGACCATTGCTACAAATACACCTGATGGACAGAAAGAAAAGATTAGTAATTTTTTAAAAGGAACATGAATAGTTGGTAGAAGTTGAATTAAAATGAACACTTGAAGAAAACACTACAAATATCAGAAACGGCTGGTATTTTTCTGGCATTTTCATGATTCCAACTCATCAATATAAGCACAAGATCCTTAAAGTAGTCTGTTCTGGAAATTAATTTATCAAATACAGGCTTCCAAAACCAGGCAAAAAAATTTAAGATTCTAACACCAAAGGTCGGTTAAGCTTCATATTATTCAAATATATAGTAAGTTAAAAAAACTAACCTCCCTCCCATCATAGCTGCATACTACAGTGTTTGTCACACCCAAACGTTGTAAATTTGATGTTAGTTTAGTGAGCCTCTGCTCCTTCATCTCATTAGCGTAAATTATACCTGATAACAACCACATTTGCATAGAGTGGATGGTTAATTAGATGATTTATAATGATATGCATATACACCATACATCACAAAGAACTATTTGAAAGCAAAAAAAGGGTTACTTCAACAGCCAGGTGCACAAAGACACACAGGTCTTGACGGGTCTAGATTGCAAGGCACATGAATTATAGAAATAAGTAGGAGAGCATGTATATGCATAAATAAATATCCACAAAAAAACCTTGAGCAAATATTGAACAAGCAAGAAATATCATTACTTATATATCTTCACGTGTCTCCTTGCGTGTATGTGTGTGTACAATTCTAAATCACTGCAATAATAACCATACAAGTGTAACAATTTCACGAATTCTAAATAACTTCAATGATAACCAAAAAATTTGTCTGTGTTTTTCAAAATCGAGATAACATTTGAAGGATGCATTTGATATTAGATATGCATCTCAATGCCTAATGATCATGTGAATGTACTAGAAAGAGCATACCAGTGTTTTTCATGAGAGCTGCAATGTAAGTCGTTTTACCACCAGGAGAGGCCCTATAAAAAGTAAAAATTGTTTTTTAAAAAATGTTGATATGTGTATGGAATATTCATTGAAAGCTGCAACCTAATACTAAAAAGGGATTAGTTGTGAGCTCAAATAAACTAGCTCAACAAGACAGATGATTGTCCTGTGATGCTAAAAAAAGAGAGAAAACATGAGTACTCAACAAGATGTTTCCACCAGCCAATCTCATTTAAACAAAGTAAGAAGTACAGATGATACCAAAATGAGAAGCAGCATAGAGCTTCTAAATCATTTTTACATTGTAATAAGGTCTGCAAACTTGCTGAAGATAAAATGCCTAGATCTTAGCTACTTTAAGACAGATATGAAGATGCCAAGAAATATAAGATATAGATGCTTACGCCATGTCAACAACTCGTTCCTTCTCCTGAGGAGCGAGAGCCATTACAGGTAGAAAAGAGCTTGCACTTTGCACCTGTGAATAAATTAAACAAAAACAATCAAATAACAAAAGATTAAAGAAATGAATAACCAAATGTTAAAAGTAAAAATAAAAATAAAAAGAATCCTGCTTAAAATTAACTCAGATATAAATACCATGTAATGACCAGCCATATATTCTGGGGTTGCACCATATGGCACTTGATGATCATAAACAACCAAGCCAACCTGTGAATGTTAAAGAGACAATTAACGCAATGCGGCCAAACAATAATTTCTGCAAATAAAGGTGACGAATGATTCTTACCTTTGACCACTTGCTTAGCGGATCTAAGTTGATACCTCTATTCAACAAGACACCAGCTAAGTCTCGTCTCCGTGTCTATATCCTCAGCAAAAGGCGAGTACAATGAGTATGGGAGCACAAATTAAACTAGTAAACAAAGTATAACAACAAGAAATAAGTTATGTAACACCTTTAATGTGTTGGTACGAAGGGTAATTGGACGAGGCTTTTCAAAAGCTTCAATTAGTTCCATAAGTTCAACAGGTGGAAACATCTGCATGAAATGTAATATTAGAAATGGTAGACCATGGACAAGTATCAAGCACATAGAGATATCCAAGTGGAAATTAATATACAGATTATCACAAATTACCTCAACCAATGAAGAAATAAGGAACTCATTGTAACCATAATATGATCCTAAATCCATCTTAAGTTGCTCTATATACTGCTTTCGTGTTGCTCCCTCTTGCCTCAAAGAACTAAAATTTGAGAGCACCCGAACAACTGGACCGAGTAATTTGACAAGTGTCAAGAACATGAGGAGAGAATACAGGAGGCACAGTGGAAATTAAGTTTTATGCTCACAAGAAAATACCCACCCTCTTTTATTCTTTGTTTAAGACCAGTGAGATCAGGGGGTCCACGAGCCTCCTCTTCAAGTTCCTATAATATATGGATTCCAAAGGCATCAAACAACATTCTTAAGTAAATGACCGAGGCACAAATACATAAACAAGGATAGCACTAAACCTCTTGTGTGGGCAATCGAAACTCATCAGGTTGTTCTTTGATGTTAAGCTGCAGTTCATCTAGAGCCTCTTTTTCTTCTCTCTCCTTCTCATCGTCAATGGCCCTAGATTTCTTCTCGACATCAGAATCATCAGAATCCAAATCCGAATCTGAACCTGACCCCTTCTCTGTAAACAGATATAGCCAACCCAAAACCCTCAAAACAGTGATATCTCTAGATAGCAACTTTAAATTACATAGCATGTAAGATCTGTGTCATCAAACATAACATATTATGGCAACAAAAGTGAGAGATTGTCTTTCAGAAAATTCAAGAGGGTCCTACTTGCCATCTTAAGCTTCATAGCATTGCTCAAGACATACCTGCAAGGTGCGTGACTACAGGATTTACATTCTTATGCACTTCCAGATAAAGTTCTTTTTTATTTGTTCTAATGTTTTAACTTTTTTAATGCCAGTTCAAAACGTTCTAAAATTTACCTGATTCATGATCATAATTGATGGTTTCAAAAAGATAACACTAAAATTCAATAATTATAACACCCACAAAAATATATTACTCCAGGAACACTATGAAGTACCTTCGTCGTCACTGCCTTGTAAAACATCGCCAGCAAATGTGTCATCCCCATCGGACGACAAATCAGACCCAGAATTCCCTCCATCACCATCAAGACTTTGTTGTTCCTCCATTTCTTCGTCTTCCATATCAGACTCGCTCAAAATATCATTTTTCTTTTTGCTCTTGACAGAAAGAAACTCCTTACTTTGCTCCTTTCTGCTTGGTTTCTTCTGTAACTTTTTGCCTTTAACAACCATTGAAGCTACAAACAGATTTAACAACAAATAAAAACCAGCTTTAGGGTTTGGATACAAACACAGAAGAAAAGAATAAACACCGAATTAGCAAAAAGGGCATCTCCCTCCAAAGAGTGAGCATGAAGTCAAACAAAATATCATACCAGCAGAGAGAAGAGCTTGCAGGAAAAGAAATAGAAGTGGTGGCTCTAACATCAGATGGAAAAGCCCAAGGATAGGGGTGAACATGGGTAGGGTCTAACAACCCAACCAGTTCAGTTTGAAACATCACAAACTGTTAAAAGAATTACAGCATAATCCAACCAAACCCAACAAGTGAGAGTTGGGTTGGTCAGGTTTAACATAATAATCAAGCATGTAAAGAAATTGACTGTTGCGACATAACCGTAACACATTCTAGCAGCAACATGACATTCCAGTAGGTGCATCCCAAGACAATTTGATGCATTGTTGTTTATCATGAAGGCTTTAAATATGTTTTGGTTCTTGTACCGGATTCAACTTTAACTATAAACCAGGTAGCTGATAGTCAATGTTGTGTCTTGTCTGATTTTTCCATACCCAATGATTGGAATCACTTGGGAAATGGGAGACATAATTGTATAATATAATGGGCTTACTAGATCCTCTTCCATTCTAAGTTACTTATAAGTGTCAGCACTACAGCAGCAAACAAAAAGCATGTATATTGGACTGGGTTGTCTGTCCTGCGTTTGGTAAGACTAGATAAGAACGTTTGGTAAGCTGGACAGATCAGAACGAAACTGTTAAAATGACCACATTGCAAAAGTATAAACCTAGTTGCAAAAAAAATAAAAAAAAGAGAGACGACAAACACTCAAGCAATCTTTTTAAATAATTAGTAGCTTGAATCATATGCATCAGATAGTATAGTACAACTAGAAGGATCATAGATGCAGAAGTATAAACCTAGTTGATAACCACAAAAAGAGACACTGCCAAAGCTCAAAGCCTTGCTAATATCTCATCCTGTGTAACACGTTACAACATGACCAGATTTTATCGTCATTGAGGCCAATAGTAAGTGATTGCATATTGTATAATATTAAACGAAAACTGAAGAAACCAAGTACAATAGAAGTTAATCCATCCTTCAAATGGTAATAAACATAATTATACGATTAAAAACTCAACCAAGTCAACAAACGAAAATTGTAAAGAAACACATCTACAAACGAAATCGATTTCAGGATAGAACAAAAACCAAATAGTACCTTTTGATCGAAGAAGTGAAGGAGAGACGGTTGTGGAGAGCACTAGTCGATACACAGAGGATGGAGGCGATTCTCAGTTTAGGTTTGGGGCGGTGGAGCCAAATTTGAACAAGTAGAATGAATGGATATTTTTTATTAGGTTAAAACCCTAAACCCCCACACCCCGTCTGCAGACACCAGACGCCATTATCTAATACCTTTTTAAATTAAATTACGTTTTTAGTCCCTGTGGTTTGTTAAAAATTAAGGATTTTGTCCCTGTGGTTTTTCAATTTAGGTTTTCAATCTTTATAGTTTACAATTCATTTATATTTTATCTCTAAGGCTAAAACACTACTTTTAAAAATAAAGAACTAAATTAGAAATGAGTTGTAAACCACAAGAATGAAAAAACAATAAATTTTAAATCGTAAGGATAAAAAAGGTAATGAATTATAAATCATAAAGATGAAAATTATAATTTTAAAACCATAAGAACTAAAAAAGAAATCTTCAACAAACCATAGGGACTAAAAATGTAATTACTCTTTTAAATTTGCATATATCTATACTATATTATAAACTATTTGACAAAAACTCTTAAAACTCGTTTTTATTATATGAAGTACTGTTTTTATTGATGCATATTGGTTAAAATTCAATATTACAAGTAATTATGCATAAGTACAATTTATTAAAGTTTCATGTTTGAATTCGTGTAACTAACTGCAAATAAATATAATCAACTACAAAATAAACACTTTAATCTAAAATATAATTAGAATAATCATTATGTTTTAACAAAATACTTAATTATTAGTTTTATAAAAAATTATATTATTAAATCAAAAATAAATTACATAGTTATTAAACCTAAATTAAGTTATAAAAAATTGAATTAAAGAAATTACACAAAAAAAAACAAAAACTTTTAAATAGTTAATTTGATATTAATATCGATATATTTTTTTTTTTAAATTTTATGATATCTTCAAATTTGTATTTTATTTAAAAATAAAAACATTATTGTATTCTCAAGACCACATAAAACCGTATTATAACATCAACAAGAGACAAAATAAAATGAAATACCAGAATCGAGATGTATCTCGCTGCATTACGCGAGTACCCTTCTACTTCTGATTAATGCACTTTTTATCTTACTTAAGTCACCTCACATTCTAATCTCACACCATAATAACAAATAGTAGTAGTCTAAAAATTAATACATTAAAGAGACCAAAAAATGATAACACATAATAATCGATAAAAAAAATATATAGTAAATAATAAAGGCCCAAAAATATATTAACTAATAACATTGGAGAAGAAAATCAAAAAAGTTAGTTGGTCAATAGTTATATACTATTGTTTACTGTTGTTCTAAGCTTCTTTATCTGGTACCAAGGTTTAATGCTATTGATTATTGCTATGTTTATATGTTACTCCCTCTTTGTTTTTCAAGAATTCAAGGAATAACAACTTTAAGCTCATCTGCATGCTATTGCTATCTCTTATGAGTTATGACATGTTTCATTGTTTTGTGATTAATCAATAAATTTTTCCTATTAAATGTATCTGTTAATGTCTTTTACATGTGTTATTTTTTATAAACTTTTAATCTTAACATATTATTTTAGGAAAGTAAGAAAAGAAGGGAAAAATTTCAAATATTATCATCAATTGTTTGATTTCTTCATCTTTAATTGAGATTCCACTACACACCACAAGATTCTATTTTAGTGTTCAAACAACCATTCCCTGAGCTTGTTGGTTATATGTCTCATTCATTATTTATTCTTATTGGATCTCAACAAAGCATTTTTCTTTCACATTCTCACTATTCCTCACTTGCCTGCATGTCTATAAACCTTGATGATCTTACCTATCATTGATCTATTATCGACTCTCTTGATTACTTATGTCACTTTGTTTCTCCTTCTATATCAAAATAGCACATGTTTTTTGTTATGAACTAAGAAAATTCTTACCTTTTAAAAAACATACCAACCATAATTCATAGCAGATGGTCAAACTTATATCTATATTTTTGAAATTGAAAACCACTCTTGTTTTCTTAATACACTATAATATGTTAGAGATAGGGATTTGGAGATGATGATATGATTCGATAGAACATGAGAATTGTGTATGAAACACTTTCCAAATACTATATTTCGACCCTTGCAGCTTTGAGCTCACGAAATCAGTATTAGGATAATTCTTGGTTTTCTCTCTTTCTCTCTTCAAAAGATGTGAAATCAATATATATATATATATACCCAAATTCTCAAAAATACATATTTATAAGAGATATCAACGGTTATTAGAGGTTAACGGGTATAACCGTCAATGGATAAGATCAAAAGGTAGTTACAACCGAATCTTATAACTGAAACCAGTAGGTCCACACCTTCTTGAACACTAGAACAAAGCTTTCAGTTACCCGTGACCAGAGGCGAGCCATAGGCTGACCAGAGCCGGCATGCAAGCAGACCAAAGACTGCCGCGAGCGACCAAAACCCCCTTTGGACCATCTTCAACACTTAGCAAATTTTCTAAGTCTGAAAGTACAAGTCTTCGATGCACAAGTCCAGGCTTGCATGCAACGTTTTAGAGTTACGATCTAATAAAAATTTAAAGTATTTACAACTTAAATCCGAAAAAAAGTTCTAGAAGGACCACCGCCAAGGGGCTCAACCTCTTGGAACCCCGTATGAGGCACTACCCCTAGGACCTCTCAGGGGGCGCGACCCCCTTAACCTTGTTTTAAGACGATCTAAGGTGATAGGAGCAACATTTGTAAGTGTGCGCTCCGCACCTCCTAACTTAAGTATGTTTGCCTCATTCCATTAATCGATCTCAAGTAAATTACAGTTACACCAAAATGCATGATGACACTAAAATCACCAACATAATCTTGGTTGCTAATTACTTAATAAGGAGTACGTAAATCATAAGTACACTTTCTTATCTATTATAAAGAAAGACAAGATTTCTTTCGTCCATGAATTATTAACATTTCTTGCATTCAGTTTTTTACTAATGAAAAACACTTATTGAATTTATTTTATCATACTTATCAAGGACCCCTGATATACGCCCAAGCACTATGAAATATTAGGAACGAGTCTAATTTGTATATGATTTTTTACAATAAAAACAACATTGGAATGTTTGATAATAGACATACGGAGATTTATCATTTATGATCATTATTTAAAAAGTGTACGAATGAACAGATCAAACCATCCCAATTGAATCCACACTCTCCAAAAGCTACATTTAAAGATATATGATTTAAAAAATACAGTTTATGATTAAGATTCTTAAAAACATGTAAAGTTTCACCTACATCACGTTAGGGTTATGTCAACGTTGAGTACCAGAAAAAATCAAACTATAGATTGTTAAATGTCTTTTAGAAATTTAGTCGTGTAATGAGACAGGACGTAAGATTTTAATGTAAATTGAAAATATGAAACTAATAAAATACGTTTGAAGAAAATAGAATTGAAATTACATGGGGTTGAACTAAACATGTTCTTAATTTAAATATTTGGTACAAAAAATTACTCGAAAAAAATACATCGTTATGAATTTCAAAAATTAAAGATTGTAAAATTCTCTCTTTATGATTTTTTTTCAGTTCAAATTTGATTATAATTCAAATAGTTAGGTTTAAAAATGAAATTGCAAGTGTTGGTCTCAACCATTTGATTTGATGATTACACATATGATATAACACTTAAAAATTTAGATTTTTTTTGTCTAAATTCCGATGTACAAGTTAAGCATTCGATTTTATTGAATTCTTAGTTGTATACGGATGGGATCCGAAATGTATTAGGATCGGAAAATCCTTAGGATCTGAAAATCTTTAGGATCAGAAAATCCTTAGTATCTGAAATACATCAAGAATATGAAATCTATGGGATCCGAATTTATTTAGGATCTGAAACATGTTTTTGGGATCCGAAATATTTAAGGATCATTTTTTTTAATCTTGTAGGGATCTGAAATATCTCTCATATTTCGGACACAAAATTATAATAGCATTTGAGTTGTAAATGTCTTATTCTTGTATTTACTATTGGTTCAAAGACAAATGTCTTCAGCAAAATCCAAGACTAGTTGAAGTGAAAGCAAAGTTCGACAACCGGTATAGATTGAATTAGCATCTAGTCGACGAAGACAAATACTAGATTAGTCAAACGGTTTGACATATATTGTTTTGGCAAGTCGAATTTGGAGTGAAATTTAACCAATAAGTTTGTTTCACCAACTTCCATCGACCCACGCCCTGGTATGTGAACATGTCAGCCAAAATAAGTTTCAAAATATTATTTTAATGGTACCATGTTTTCTTTACTGCTCCATCTGCATACAAAAATGATTGGTTGGGGCAACAAACGTCTACATCATATCTTTAAAATATCAAAAAGTTGAAATGAATAGTACAAACATGGATTGATCAGTAAATCTATGAAGATATGCATTCAAGTTGACATGCAACATTTAATGCATTAATGGCTATAAAAGACAATTTTTGTCAATGCTGCAAACCACCCGTTTCATAGAAACTATGAGTGATAGTTTCTCAGGCAGCTCGACATCAATATCTGAAAGTGTGTTGTTGAGATCTATCTAGCCCTAACTAGATTTGGAATTTCTCCATTTTAAATTCTATTTAAATGAAGAATATACCAGTTCTTCACATTTTAAAGAGTATCTTCTTATACTCTGTTAGTATATTCTTGTGAGAAAATTTGTCGACAGTCAAATTGTTTATGATAAGATCTTGCCTTTCTAGTTTCTTTAGCGAATTAGTAATTCGTTGTTTTCATATAACATACAAAATTAAAATGTGAAAATTTGATGTGTTTGTATTCAACACCCATCTACAAACACTTTATGTGTTAGTTATTACCCAATCAAGACCAATAGTAAGATCATCTACAATAGATACTTTAAAATAGAGAAATGTAGATATTTTATCTATTTGCTCTAACAGATTTTGTTAATCAAGACAAATTAGTTGACTAGAATGGAACTCATAAATCTCATGACTTTTGGAACCAACAGATTCATCATTTCCATTGATACAACATATTGGGTGTGCATTAAGTATACCGATCCAATTAGAACCGACCAAACAAAATTGGATTGGATCGTATTGAAACAGGTTAGTTCTTAGATGGTGGTCCAAAACCAATCAAAGCTACCATCATTTGCATTTTATACGAATTGATACAGATAAATATAATCGCTTTCTTTACCTTCATTTCGTTTACAACTATTCGGTAAGTTTCATCGACTCATTATCTCTAACAAAAAAAAACTATGATTTATCATTCAAGAGACTGGATCTGGGTCATAAAATGTACACAAACCTGACTTCTATCTTAAAGAGCAGAACAGTTGTTTCCATGAGAACCTGGTTGTAAGTAAGCACCTTAAATACCATCCAGAAGGCTGTGAACTGCATCAGAAATAAGGGAGGCTAAGCTCTTATCACCAGTACTAATAACAGTACTGGTTTCTTTCACTTGTATCAAAGCCTTCCCAGGCTCAAATACATTCAACACATTTGATCCATATCCATCATCACCACTCACTTTTTCTATTGACCCTTTGACCCCAGATTTCTCTAATGCCAACAATAGACTTTCTAAATCAAGCTTACCCCAATGCACCAAAGGCCTGATCTCTAGCGGATTTGCCGGTTTTTTTGCAAGTAAATAGTGTTTTCCTTTATCCACAAATAGCTCACCGGTTAATCTCGAGATGGTCAATTCATCGTTTTTCATCTTTGACCAAGTGAGCTGTGAAGCCAAGTCTGTTGCAATGTGTAGCTCTGCGAGATTGTGTGAATTTGGCAGGCGAAGTGTTTCATTTTCAGGGTAAAATAGACACGGCAATGATTCGGTCAAAGGAGCAAAGCATGGTTTTGTGTGATCCGGGAGCTATGGATGAGGAATGGAAGCATGCATTAGAAAGTGAACAGATTTTAATATGAATTGAAAACGTTAGGAAAGAATAGAGGTTGCTAAGAAATTACCAAAATCAATTTCGGCTGTAGCAGTTTCAGCAATGGTGGAACTTTCTCCAACCTACAAAGCAAAACGTGGTAACTTATAACAAGAAGGTAGCCATTTTAAAGATCCATGTGACAGGAACCTACAGAACATGCTGGACAAGAAAAAAAAACTACTAAAAATGTAAATGTTATTTGTCCCTTCAGGGTCCGTTCTATATGCGGATAGGACTAGAGGGGTGAGAACAGGTAGGCGAGTGAGATTTTTGGAAGGTTTATGAGTTTTAATTTGGCATGGGTAGTTTAGTAATTTACCGATCTTGTCTAAGCTCTCTGAGTTTTGTTCCACCCATTTCTGTGAGTCTTGTCCGTCCCAGTCTAACTGTCGCACCAAACATGGGACAGGTTTTTGTTCTATCCGCTACTGTCTCATGTACCAAATGCGCCCTTAGATCCCATTTACTTGACATGAAGAGAAAATGGAGCTGGAACAGAAAATAGAGAACGAGCAACATTGGTTTACACAAATGGAACCACCAAGTGATGTGGTTGTAACCGTTATGGTCATTGAAAACTTTAGTAGGTTTTAATAAAAGATATGATAGATCAAAATGCTTATAAAGTTGCCTTCCTCATATATACCAGTTAATAAAAGAAAAAACAGCATGAAAAGTTGACAATGGATTTGGTAGTTATATGCAATGTAGTTCTATGACCACATCCCTATGATGGTTGTGGGACCGGTATAGTGGGGACGCACTGGTCAGAAGGTGGTATCATATGAACCCTTCCAAAGGGGATTGGTCATTCTAAGTACTTAATGTCCATAGTTTTATGACAAAATAGTTAGGAGCAAGAACAAGAATGCCAATAGGAGATTGAAAAGGTTCCTAAAAGAAAGCAAAATTCCTCAATTCATTCAGGTGTCTAATTAGAACATATTTTCAAGGAAGATGACGTATCACTTACTTTAAACCCGAAAGAAACGAGCACTCCAAAACCTTCATTGCTACAGGCTTGAACGGCAAGAGTGCAAGATCAGTGTCAACTCCTTCCTGAAAACAGATAATTAGTCTTGTATATGATCACAGGTATAAAAGACATGCACAAAATCAAACTAGATTATAGATGAATAAAAGAAAAAAAATTAAAAATAAAAAGTTCGAAGAACAAAGAAACCTCCAGAACTAGCAGTGAGTTTGGATCCCCATGCCAGCGTTGGAGTAAATGAACAACAGGTCCAAGCCTCAAGCTCCAGTGAGGACAAACTACTATGCATGGCTCCTGCCACATCATTCTGTATGCATAAAAATAACAATACCAAATACGCTGAGTATATGATTTTTGACAATGGGATGCACTACCTCTGTCACACAATAAAGAAGGCACACCATGTTAGAAATGTGTAATTACTACACTTTTTACTTAACTAAAAAAGTGACAATTGTACCCTTGATAATAGAGGGAGTATTGAATTTCTCCATCTCATAATTAAGGCTATAATCGGAATGTATGCACTTACTTCTGAAAGAGGACACTTATTTTAGGACAAATCAAAATAGAAATATGGACACTTATTTCGGGACGGAGGGGGAAATTCCACAAGTAGATAACGTAATGCACAGGATAAAACTACATCTTACAGTAATTCATGTGAGTGAACTGTTGGAAATATGTGGATCTTTTTCTCCTTTATGAGTTCTTCATGAGCAAAAACCGGCTTGCCAGAGTACAGCTGCAGGACCAGCAGAAAAAAATAATTATAAATGCAGGTACAAGTAATTTTGTACCACTTTGAGTTTGAACATCCGAGTTAAGATGTGTATTACCTTCTCTTGTCGATGCTTGCATAACCATTCTGGTAAAATACTAGTGTATGCCAGCAATTCCTCTGCCACAGTAGAAATGATAAATATTGGAACCTACAAAAACACATCTTAGTATTGGTACTTACATTTAATACATTTGGACATCTTACAACAATAACCGAAAATATGCCTACAATTCCCATTTTGAAAGCAATTGAAAAAAATACCTTCACATCGGATGAGTCAATATGCAACGCAAACAACTCTAAAAGCTGCAAAATAATGGCAAGCCTTCCAATGGGAATTAGAACAGAACCACCAGCTTTAACAGAATCCATAGAACATGAGCATATGAAGTTCAGTTTATCCATTTCTTCAGAGCTCTCATCAAAATTCAGCAAGGAATCAGCACTCAATTCCCAAGTATATTCATTACCACTGCCAAAAGTTGGCTCCAAATTTAAGATTAATGCTTCCCACTTAAAAGCCGTTTGAGGGGGGGGGGGGAATGAAGTAAAACAGATGCCCTCTTTGAAAAAAAATTATACCTCTTAGTTGAGCAATCGTCGGTAACCATAGAGGAGCAATTATTCTCATCTCCAACACCATGGACCCCATTCCATGAAGCGAAATCAGAATATACAAGTACATCACTTCCTCGGAGAGCATGGAAATTAAAATCCATTGCAACTCCAGATGAAAATACTGAGCTTGAAATATATGAAATATTCCTTTTTGGACCTTTAAGAGTCCAATTGCATGAACCTATTTCTAAACCAGAGCTAAAAGCCTTTATGATCAAAGTGCCATTATAGCAAGCTTCTTCTGCATATTTAAGAGTCTGAACTTTCCGCAAACAGTCCCTCACATCAGCTGCACTGAGAAGAATCTTAAGTTATTTCTTTGTACACAAATATCCATTACCTATACACTTCAACAACCCACCATAAGAGGAGATCGATAAGCAATTTCAAGTCACGACACAATCTACAATGTTCATAACACATCATCATATGGAAGAGCTATGTAATGGTACCATGCCAGCATAGGCAAATCAACATGTTCTGTAACAAGATGATATAATCTCCAATCTAGAAAACCGGATAATACAACCATGTAATGAAACAGAAATAAGTAATCATCCTGCAGTTTACACTGTTACCTGTATAACGGCATCCAACTACCAAGCTCCGTCCCATCTTTACCAAGAACTATCTCTTTCAGTGCAGGTGGAAGAGCTTCAAGCTCTTCCCACTTGAACAATTGAAGGAAACTAGTCTCCTCAGGTCCATAAAATTGCTTAAACTCCATATGCATTGCAATAAGATCCTCCATCATAAACTGACTCAGCCTTGCCGTTGCCTCAGTTGCATATATCTAGTTAAAATGAAAACATAAAACACTAAATTTTACAAAAACTGGTATTAGACTTGAAACTTAAATTGCTAATCCATGAAGAAAAATATCATTTTCAGATACCTTGGCAGAAAAACCTTCAGTGCGAGTAAGAAATGGCAACCCCAACATCCCCATTGGACTTGATATCAATACAACATCAATCAGAGAAACATTCCAAAGGTGCAGACTCTCAACAGTTTTATAGTAAGGTTCTGCAGGTATTAAATTGGTCCTATCAAGAAGCTTCTTGGTTTCTTGCATAGGACCCACAAGTGGTGTATCCAAAGAAGTGAAAGATGGACCAGCAGATGTCTCTTCATAAAGCTTTTCATATAAACTAGTTGATATTGGGGAGAAGATTGTTAGAGCAGATAAGTCAAGAGGGCAATCAAATAAGATGTGGAAACCACATAAGTTGACTATGTGGCATGGTGGAAGATTGTAACCTCCAGTTCGGCTCAAACTTGTCTGCACACACAAAAGAGATGACAAGAATGAGATGAGCACAGAAATATTTGTGTAGCATGGACATGTGCATGTGCATAGAATACATAGATGTATATGCACAAATATATACACACACACTAGTTGAAACTTCATTAATTAATACTCGATTATTTAATAATCTCTCTTAGATAATATTTTTGGTTGGCCCTCGCTCAGGGATAACATGCCAAATTAATAATTCACTGAACTTATAAGATTATTTATGATGTAAAATATAAATTAATAATTCCTTATTTATTACATAATACAATGATTTATGAAGATTCTTGAGAAATGAATCAATTGTCTTTTCTTTTCTGTTGAACTCAATATCACCTTGAATCTCATCTCTGATTTTTCTTATCATTGTAATACTTCTGATGTTGTTTTCTCATAGCTCAACAAGAAATTACTCAACATTTCAATGTGATTGCCGCTTTATTACAAATTTACAATATGCTTCATTGTCTGTGTTAGCATGATTTGGTCTTGCATTTATATAGAAATATTAATTAATATATAAATTAATAATTAATTTATACATAAATTTACGATCAAGGAAATATTTTTTAAAATGAAGTACCCAATTTTTAAGGCAACTTCAGTCCCCCACTTTATTTATTACAATATGCTTCATTGTTCAATGTATTTGTATATTGTGCAATGTACTACTTTATGGATATTAAAAAAATATTTTCTATATAAACACAAGATCAAATCATGTCCATAAAGTAGTACATTGAACAATAAACAAATACATTGAAGGTTGGGGATATATAAATAAAGTTGGGGATTGAAGGTTGCTTTATAAAAATTGGGTACTTCATTTGAAAAACATTAACTTGATTATTATTTATCTATAAATTTATTAAGTATTAATTAATCTTTAAATTCATAATTATTAATTGATCGGTTAATTAGTATTTCGCTTAATTAATATATTGTGATGGTCCAATGGCATTAATTTATAGAGTTTCAAGCATGCATATATATATATATATATATATATATATATAGAGAGAGAGAGAGAGAGAGAGAGAGAGATACATACACTGTTGGAGTGGGTCAAATATGATCACGTGAATAAGTTCCTGTTTTACAGGAAGAGTTTGTTTATTTTGAATTGTTCCAGTCCCCTCCTATAGACTAGGAGTTTGTTCTTTGTTTCTGTTAGTTTTTCCTTCCCTGTACGTGTATTTAAGTAGCCCTCTGGTGGCATTAATATAGTGAAGCATTTAGCCCCATAACTGAGTGTTTTCCCAATATTGTGTCTGTGATACTAAACATTTGGTATCAGAGCAAGGTTAGAAGAGCTCTTTCATTATCAAAGAGTAAGAGTGAGAGTGAGAGATGGAGAACTCTGACAAGTTTGTGCAACCTGCCATTCCAAAGTTTGATGGTCATTTTGATCATTGGGCTTTACTGATRGAGAATTTCCTAAGGAGCAAGGAAATGTGGCATTTGGTGGAAAATGGAGTTCCGGCACGGACCGTGGCTAGTCCAAGTGAAGCACAGAGAAAGGCGGTCGAGGACGCCAAACTGAAAGATTTGAAAGTGAAGAATTTTCTGTTCCAAGCTATTGAAAGGGAGATCTTGGAAACAATCTTGGATAAGAGCACTTCAAAGRGCATCTGGGATTCAATGCGACAGAAATATGAGRGCTCTACAAAGGTGAAAAGAGCTCAGTTGCAGGCCTTAAGAAGAGAGTATGAACTTCTGTCCATGAAAGACGGTGAAAAGGTCGATACTTACTTAGCCCGGACCTTGACGATCGTGAACAAAATGAAGGCAAATGGCGACCCGTTAACTTCAGGYGCTGTTGTTGCTAAGGTACTACGTTCATTGAGCCCGAAATTTAACTATGTTGTTTGTTCTATTGAGGAATCCAACAACCTCGATACCATGACAATCGATGAACTCCATGGAAGTCTTCTTGTCCATGAACAACGTATGATTGGGCAGCAAGATGATGAACAKRTTCTGAAGATATCAACTGGGTYACCCTCTCGTGGACGGGGAAGAGGACGAGGCGGTCGAGGAGGAAGAGGTCGTGGCAGAATTTCATTCGATAGAAGTAGGATAGAATGTTACAGGTGCCACAAACTTGGACATTTCCAAAATGAATGTCCAGATTGGGAGAAGGATGYTAATTATGTGGAACATAATGATACAGAGGAGATGGTGTTGATGGCTCAAGTGGATAAAGGTGGCTCGACAAAACAATGGAATTGGTTCTTTGACTCGGGTTGTTCCAATCATATGACAGGTGAAAGAAAATGGTTTAGTACCTTGGATGAATCTTACCGTAATAATGTGCGACTTGGAAATGATGTTCGTATGGTTGTCATGGGAAAAGGGAATGTTCGTCTCGACTTTGAAGGTGTGATTCACATGTTGAATGATGTGTACTATGTCCCAGATCTCATGAACAATTTGATCAGTGTTGGCCAAGTCCAAGAAAGGGGAATAGAGATCTTGCTTAAGAATGGTTTTTGCAGCATATACCGTCCAAAAAAGGGGCTGATCACAAGGGTTCAAATGTCCTCAAACAGAATGTTTATGATCAAGGCTAGACCAAGTGGCATTGATGAATGTCACAAAACAGAAACTGATGACACTACTCGTCTTTGGCATCAAAGATTCGGGCATATCAACAACAAGAGCTTAAAGGTGCTGCATGATAAGGATCCGGTGAGGGGGCTGCCAAGGATTAATGTCGAAGGTGGAACTTGTTCGGACTGTTTGGTAGGAAAACAAACCAGAGAATCATTTCCTAAAACATGTTCATGGAGGGCAACCCAACAACTTCAGCTTGTCCACTCAGATATTTGTGGACCCATCACCCCTCAATCGACGAGCCTAAGTTGGTACATTATTATCTTTATTGATGATTTCTCACGAAAGTGTTGGAGTTATTTTTTGACAGAAAAATCACAAGCTTTAGACACTTTTAAGAAGTTTAAAGCTTTGGTTGAAAAAGAAGCAGGAGTTGAGATTAAATGTTTGAGGACCGACAGAGGAGGTGAATWCAATTCCAGTGAGTTYAAAGTGTTCTGTGAAGACAATGGCATACAAAGACAACTCACTGCAGCTTACACACCACATCAAAATGGCGTGGCAGAGAGAAAAAACYRAACTCTGATAAATATGGTGCGAAGTGTAATGAGTGCAAGGAAGGTTCCAAAGATTTTCTGGCCTGAAGCTACCAACTGGTGCGTACATGTACTCAATCGAAGTCCTACTGCAGCTCTTGAAAATTGCACACYAGAAGAAAAGTGGAGTGRTCGAAAACCATCTGTAWGTTATTTYAGAGTATTTGGATGCATTGCTCACGTTCATATTCCTAAGGAAAGAAGGTTGAAGCTGGATGACAGAAGCTTAAAGTGTGTCTTGTTTGGGGTTAGTGAAGAGTCCAAAGCATATAGACTCTATGACCCTTCCAACAARAAGATTATTGTGAGTAAAGAYGTTGTATTTGAAGAAGATGCTTCCTGGAATTGGATACAGCAATCAGTGATCAACCCTACCGACCTGGAGTGGGAAGATAAAGATGAGCAGGGGAGTGATGAAGATGGGCCAAWTACCTCAGATGTTGTTAATAGCCCATCGAATGAACTAAATAGGGCTAATAACGCTGATGGGACGTCGAATATAAATGAAAGCGGGCCTTCAAACACTAATCCAGTTACAAGCAGTATTGTTGAAAGAAGAAAAGGAGAGCAACAAAAGCACCGTCTTGGATGCAAGATTATGTCAGTGGAGAAGATGTTGAAGAACAAAGGGAAAACGTTGCTATGTTTTCTTCTTTATCGGAACCAACCAACTATCAAGAAGYTGCGCAAGACGAGTGTTGGATACAGGCAATGAAGCAGGAGATCGAGTCAATTGAAAGAAACAACACCTGGGAATTATGCGATTTGCCAGCAGGTGCAACAACAATTGGTGTGAAATGGGTCTTCAAAACTAAGCTAGACAAGGATGGGAAGATCGATAAATACAAGGCTCGACTCGTGGTAAAGGGGTATGTTCAAAGGCAAGGGATTGATTACTCTGAAGTTTTTGCTCCAGTGGCTAGATGGGATACAATCAGAAGCATTTTTGCACTTGCAGCACAACGAGGTATGAAAGTTCATCAATTAGATGTAAAGAGCTATGCTGTTATATCGGTCAAAATACAAAATATCGGTCAGGACCGATATTCGATATATCGGTGATATATCGGAAATAGCGGTTAACATAATATTTCTTAGAATTATATATATAATATGCATTAATTAGAGTTAACATAAAATTTTTATAAGGGTTAAAATTTGGGCTTTTTTTTTTATTCCATGGGCCTTATTTTTTGGGCTGCTTAGTAAATTAGGTCTGAATAAGACTTTCTCAACAGTACTGTCTACGACTTCTTCTTCTCACGTCGTCTCTCTTTTCTCTCTCGGTCTCTCTCTTTTCTCTCTCGGTCTCTCTTCTCGATCTCCTCTGTTTTTCTTGTAATCGATACAACATAGCCAAGCCACTGCCCAGCGACAGCAACTTAGCCAACGACAGAGCCAGAGCCAGAGCCAGAGCCAGAGCCAGCGACAGGTCTCTCTTCTCTATCACCCATTTTGACTATTGTGCTTGTGCCAAATTTTAACCCTTGTAAAAATCGGAATATCGGACCGATTTTATCACTAAAATATCGCTAAATATCGTTAAATATCGCCGATAATATCGTTCCCGATATTTTGACCGATATTTCATGTCCGATTTTTTTCCTACGAGCGATATCCGATATATCGGCGATATATCGGCGATATATCGGCGATATATCGCGATTTTGACAGCATAGGTAAAGAGTGCTTTTTTGTATGGTGATTTGGAAGAGACTGTGTATGTAGAACAACCCCAAGGTTATGAAGTACAAGGTAATGAAGGAAATGTCTATCGATTGAAAAAGGCCCTATATGGTTTAAACCAGGCTCCGAGGGCCTGGTACGGGAAAATTGAAGGCTACTTTCTTAAGGAAGGCTTCAAAAAGTGTCCATTTGAGCCGACCCTGTTTGTTAAATCAGCTAAGGAAAATGTTTTCTTAATYGTTTCTATCTATGTAGATGATTTAATTATAACAGGAAGTACACTCGAAGTAATTGAGGAATTCAAGGCGTCGATGAAATCTGAGTTCGAGATGTCAGATCTAGGAGAAATGCGATATTTTCTGGGTGTAGAGGTTATACAAAGTGAAGATGGTATTCATCTCAATCAGCGAAAGTATGCTCGTGAAATACTCGAACGATTCAACATGAAAGACTGCAATGGTGTAAAGATTCCTATGGTTCCGGGCTGCAAGTTGGTGAAGGATGATCAAAGTGGGTTTGTTGATGCAACAATCTACAAACAAATGGTGGGCTGTATCATGTACCTGGCAGCAACGCGTCCAGATATAATGTTTGTTGCTGGTCAATTGTGTCGTTATATGGAGGCTCCAACTGAACAACACATGGCAGCGATGAAGAAATTGTTTCGATATATCCAGGGGACTAAAGAACTTGGAATTTTTTATAAGAAAGGAGGTAGCGTTCTTTTAGTGGCATATTCTGATAGTGATTATGCTGGTGATCATGACAATCGAAGAAGCACTTCAGGTTGTGTATGTTTTCTGAGTGGGGCTGCAATTRCTTGGTCTTCCAAACGACAACCAATTGTAACCCTCTCGACTACTGAAGCAGAGTTTGTAGCTGCCACAGCATGTGCGTGTCAAGTTGTATGGCTAAGAAGAATGTTTGAATACATTGGTCTGACTCAGGAAGAAGGTACTGTTATTAATTGTGATAACATGTCAACTATAAAGCTTTCGAAAAATGCGGTTATGCACAATCGAAGCAAGCACATAGATGTGAGGTATTTTTTCCTTCGTGATTTGGTGAATGATGGAACAATAGAGTTGAAGTACTGTAACACTTCAGCTMAAGTAGCAGACATCATGACAAAACCGTTGAAGGTTGATCAGTATGAGAAGCTGYGAGCTATGTTGGGTGTGTTGGAAGCAACTGAGATAAACTAAAGTTGAGAGTCTTTAGTTTAGGAGAAGGTATGTTGGAGTGGGTCAAATATGATCACGTGAATAAGTTCCTGTTTTACAGGAAGAGTTTGTTTATTTTGAATTGTTCCAGTCCCCTCCTATAGACTNCAGTCCCCTCCTATAGACTAGGAGTTTGTTCTTTGTTTCTGTTAGTTTTTCCTTCCCTGTACGTGTATTTAAGTAGCCCTCTGGTGGCATTAATAAAGTGAAGCATTTAGCCCCATAACTGAGTGTTTTCCCAATATTGTGTCTGTGATACTAAACATACACAAAAACACATAGAGTGAGAGAGAAGAAAGAATCGTACAAACTTCATAGGATATGAGACTTCCAATCAATTGGGATATTGCTACAAGTGGGTGCGGCTCAATAAGGACCAGATTTGAAGAAACCAATCTATCAAATGTCGTATTTCTCTTGTCAAAAAAGAACCAGTTGGTCACACCCTGCAAATACCAACAACCAAAATCATAACTCGATAATCAGGTCAGATTATATATAAGCAAAATAGAAAACAGTAAAATAGTGACAACTAACATATATGGTCCTTATCCTTCACATTCATTTCAAACTTTTGTTTCCCACCTTGAAATCAGAATAATTGGCACCCTAATAGTCATGCTTTTCTCACAATCAAGCTCAGTTAGAAATTTCCATGTTCATAATTAGAAAAGAGCACCCTTCTCCCCACACTTTTATCAAAACACCACATACCTCCACCATGACTAATAAGTAAGAAAGTTCCAAAGGGTCATTGGCCCAGCGGTACCTGGGTTACCTGTAGAACCCAGCCTCCCAGGAGGTCAAGGTTCAAACCTCACCAAAGGTGAGGAGTGTGTATGAGTATTTGCCGCATATACATGTTTTTTACTTTAAAAAAGTAAGAAAGTTAAATGAGAATTAAATCAGATGAACAGGAAGGATTATAGAGAGAAAGGGTGTCATGGGAATGGAAGTGAGAAAGACGGTGGTATCAGGGTATTGCAAGTCAATCAACGTTCTCTTTTGGAAGGGTGTCACAGGCTATGTCCAGACTAATCCCGGCAAACTGTGACTGTATTACATCAGCCCCAATAAACTCAGAGGCCACAATTGTTTGTGGACGCCTGGAATTGAACCCAAGGCAGATAAGATATTCCACCACGTCCCCTTGTGCCTCAACCACTATGCCACAACCCTTGTGGTTAAGTCAATCAATGTTCCTAGTGCTATAGTGTACATCATGGTGATTTGGTTTATGTACCCAAAGCACTCACCTTAACCTTTTTCTATTCAGCCATGAGCCCCTTTTATGCCAAGGAACCACAACTTTTTTATGCATTTGGGCAAACATCTAGCACCAAAGTCCTGGCTCCAAAAGACCATTGAGTTCAACAAGAAGAAATAGAAAAATGGTTCCAGTAAAAAAAGTCAGAAACCAGAGACATTTGGCTAGGTGAGTGACCAACAACCGGAGTGGAAACAAAGATCAGTGTTGGTGATTTTCCATTTACCAAACAATTTACAAAATAATCATACAATATTACCTTCTAAGTTCTAAAAAAAGTTAAAAACATTAATCTTTTCAATGAACTGTGTATGGAAAATGGAAAATCACATCCAAACTGAAGATCAACCGGTATTTTTTTATTTACCAAACAATTTACAGAAGCTGAATCACATTTTTTTTATTTACCAAACAATAAAAATGCATGGCCAATTGAAGTAGAAAATGATCCGAACACGATAATAAACAATATCCTTCGCCAACTTCTTTTGGTTAAAAAATATTTGAACTTATAAAATGATTTACGATTTACCTCTGATTCTGAACTGAGATCTGAAGCAGTTGTCAAAGAACACTTGAATTTGCAAGTGTAAGAGAGAAGAACACTTGCCAAGAATAAAGGTGAAAGTTGAGTTTATCTCAAGAATCTATACATCAACACAAAAATATATCTAAAATCAATAATGGCATAAAGAATCTCAATAAAGAATCTATGCATCAGTAATGGCATAAAGAAACCCATTGTGTTTATAATTTAATTCAGAGCTCAAAAGCTGTCCGAAAAAATCAATCTTGTTCTATGTTTTTAGTTCAAATTTCTACAGTTTCAGGCAAATGATCAACTAATCCAAGACCAAAACAATAATCTTCTTTTGGAGGAATAAGAGACCACCTCTAATCCAAGGAGTTTAACAGGCCTGCTGCTCCCACTATGGCTTCTGTTTCAAACCAAAAGACCACCTATAATCTTCCAATTGGATCCGAATGCTGCAAAAATCCCAAAAACATCATAAATTTCTAAAAACCCACACAGAGTATGAAACAGTTTCCAACCACAATAACCCTAATTCAGAATCTTGAACACAAACACATTATGATGTTTTGAGCCATGTTCAGTCAACTAAAACAGAAACTAATTAGAAAGCATGATACGAGCAGATTGTGGAACTCAAACACCCATATGATAACCATGTAGAAAAACAAACCCAAGCGAGCACGTAGAAAAACAAGCGAGTCCATCAAGATGAAAGAGAGGGAGAAAAAGAACACAGGGAGATAGATTTGGTTCAATGGCAAAGATCTTCAAAAAATCATAAGGACGATCAAAACATATATAAAAAGGCGATCGAACGATGTGAGTTTAAAATCAGGAGATCGACATACCTTTTGGAGAGACGATTTGCTGAGATCGACAGCTTGAAATCGAGCGAGAGATCAATATGGCATGAGAGATCGATAAAGTTTAGGTTATCAGCTTGAGACGCTATATCGTATGCTAGTAAGAGTCCGTGAAGGGTTTAGGCTATCACTGGTCAGAGGTTTTAGCTCTTCCAGGGCCCGTTTGTTTTAAAAAAAACCTCTTGAACCGTTAACATGTTTTTTCAGAATATTTTTGTATATTATGTCCTCTTCAATTCAATATCCACACTTTTTTTTTGTTAACCTAGATATCCAACTCGTTATAAGAGCCGACTAATCCCAAGACGACCACCTGTTTTGCAGATAGTCCGGAGTCGTCGCATTTGAACCTCCGTGTTCACAAGAGGATTTTTATTCCTCCTTCAATTTGAACCTGAGACCTCCTGATACTTTTGACAGTATCCACACCTTGAGACCTCCTGGTACTTTTGACAGTATCCACACTTTAACGCATCCTAAAAGACCAAAATGTCACTTAACTCAACCGAGTTAACAGATTTTTTATTAACTCTTTGTTATTAAAAAGAACCATGACTATAACAAATTGAATATCATATCAAGCATTACCATAAACAATAAAGTATAACGATGTTAGTCATAAATTTTATCATACCACAAGGACCAAAAACGTAATTCACTCTTACTATATAATAACCATTCCTACCCCAATCCCACGCCATAGATGAAGAGCCCTGCAACGTGAGACCATTTTTCCGCCTACCATCACCTTGTATGAAACCCCTGCTCTCCCCTCGCAGCATCGCCTGCCAACCCCCATTTCTGGACACCATCTCGGACTTGAAACCTCCATCTTCGACCCAAGCCTCTCTCCCTTCACTGGTCCAAATATGTTTTTCCGGTGAACTGAAACTCGTAGTTGTTTAGTTTTTTGGTTCACACCTTCATCAACTGACAACTGTGGGTTCGACAATAGATTTGGGTCACACCTTCGTCGACCAAAACTTTCTTCTATGCTTTTGGTTTCACACCTTCATCAATCAAACAACTTTCTTTGTTTTGGGTCTACACCTTTATCGAACAATAGTTGCTCTCTTCTCTGTTGTGGCTTCACACTTTCATCGACCAACACACACAAATGAATTTGGGTTGATTTGGTTGAGTTTTGGTATTAGAGTTTGTTTTTGGATGATTTAGGGTCGTTTAGCAGATGCTTAATCGGGTAAGCACTTACAAAACAACCAAAAAACAATAACAATATCTAATTTATGTAAGAAAAACGACCAATTGTCACATGTAAAACAATGTTCCTAACTATTTAAGCAAAACAACTATTCTAAATCATTTATTATAACAAAATCTTTTCGTTACGGTATTCTTATCAACGACCATACAAAAGATACCAAATAAACGTAAACAAGTCCTATGTTGTGGTCTTTGTAGTTCAACCACTCAGTTCGATTCCTTTTACCTGTTTTGAAGTATTAGAGAAATGAAACTGTAGTCATTGTAGAGATATATCTGCACCTGACTATACAAATTGCATAAGTTAATTTGTCTAAATGACTATCATTAACTTCGAAACCCACATATTTATGTTTGAAATGATGCATAAATGAAACACCCAAAATTTGGAAAATAGCGACTAATTTAAAATTTCTATATTACATCAATTGAAGAATATATTCCTTTTTAATGGATAACACTCGGATTACCTAACATGGAAATTTAAGGATTTAAATTAATAAATTACAAACCTAACCTTTCACTAGGTTTAGGATAGGAACGAGTGTATACTAAAACCCAATAAAAGTCGAAATCTCCAAAATATAGAAGACGTCCTAAAAAGCTAAATCCTTCTTGAGCCTCTAACTAGCACTTAACTCTTCACAAGTATTGCTAATACTAAACCTCACATGGACCTCATGCACACGCCGACAAAAAAAGTGTTAGGTTTCAAACTCACTGAGTTCAAACATTTTATATTGACAATAAGAAAACGCTAAAACTAAACGAATGTTCTAAAAATGACAATGTTCACAATTGAAATAATGTCTACATTTTAAACCAACATCTTTTTAAAAATCCACTATTTTAAAAAAAATATCAAATAACGTCTTTCGATGACAGAGAACTTGTTTCCATTGGATGTGGTGGAACACAGTAAGTCACGTATCAAAGTTGTCGAGTTTCACTTCAAGGACATCAAACAACCTTAATGCTTACTCTCCAAGATTTCAAGATACTTGCTTGCTATAAACAAATGGTCCGGGTTGAGAACATTGAAACTCCTCAGTTGACCAAACTCAATGGCTTCAAAACGAGAACATCAAAACTCATCGTTTGACATAATCAAAGGTTTCAAGAAGAGAACATCAAAATTTCTCTCTTGATCAAAACAATAAAACCTCATGTACATGGATTCAAAGCAATACTATTTTATGATTTAAACTTGAAAATTTAGATAAGCACAAATGACATGTATTTTCAAGTAGTTATGGCGATATATGCATAAAATGTCCAAGTAATAATGAATAATCAAAAGTTGGGCAAAATCCCAAGCAGATTTATGAGATCATCAGCTAACAGTCGTACACTATGCAGGGACGGACCCAATTTAGAGTGGTCCGTGCCATCGTATTATTCATCCGTCCTAGTGTAAAAAAGATTATCTTCGTGAAAAGTGTCATCGTATTAATTTGTTGTGTGCCACATGATGTATTTTGAAGCTATAATGAGAATAACTTTTCTTTGGTATAGTTGGTTTGCAAGGATTTTTTCCACCTCAGACCCGAGTTCGAATTTTGTTAGTGTCATTTTCTTAGTTAAATGATGTCACCGTTTAAAAAAAGATCCCTCTATTTGTTTCTTATAGTCAAATGATGCCATCGTTTGCAAAAATTTCTGTGTCCGTCCCTGACTAAGCATTTGAAAATAGACTTGGTTAGATACCAGTTTGGGGATACGAATACGAAATGTAAATTAATTATTTCGGAGGATGGTACCCAGCAACACATACAAAGTTACAAACAACATAAATGTCTTCAAATGTTAAACATAAAACAATATCATACACGAAGATCAAACCCGAGACACCGATGTCGTAAGCTAATTTTCCTTCCCAAGCAATGCGAGAAGAAAGCGTTTGTAATGCCCCGAGGTTTCCTTTGCGACAGCCTGATCGAGTGGCACGCTGTTCCTCTTGTAATACTGTTCCATGATCTCTTTCAGGTCTTTCTCGGCATGTGTAACAATCACACGAGTCAGTGCATCTTCGTTTGTCCCGTTCCTTTTTATCGCATTTCGAATCACCTACAAGTAAGTATAAATGGTATTACAATCTAGAGATAACGTTGATAATTCAACAAGAAACGGGGTCACTTAGAGGGGGTCATAAGAAAGTTTACAACGAAACTTACCTTTTCAAAGTACTTAATAGGGTCACTCATGCATCTGATCGTCGTACGGAGTGTCGTTGTGTATTCATCAGCTGAATCGTCCTTCAAGTGCTGTCATAAGTTTCAGCAACCGAAATACAAAGTCTTTATGTGATTAACGGTTAGAAATCACAATCGAAGAGACATTACAACAAAATGAGATCTCTAGTTGTCTTCAAAGGATTCAATATGACTTAAATTTATACGACCAACATATGAGTTACACATAATAGCATTAAAATAAGTTGTTAAAACGACTCCACAAGTACTATACATTATACATTACTGTTTAGTGGTGGCTTAATGATATAGAAAGTGACTTATTCAGTAAGTTTCTAGGGGAGAGTTTTATCCAGAAAGCGAAGTTTTTTTTCTAAAACTGCACCTTCCAATAAAAAACAAGCTCCTTCCATCTATGAAAAAACTTTCTCAAACAAAAAACATTTTTAATATATCTACACAGATAGGTTAGTCCACACATGCAACTCTATCTATACAGAACTTAATGGTAAACCAACCAAACAACCAACACCATTAATTACATAGGATGCACAGTCAGTTAGCCATAAACTTAAAAGTACTGTGAAGTACTTTATTGGAACCCCTAAGGACGGTACTTGAGGGTCCTATAAAGCCCTTTTTGTTGTGGTACGGTTGAAATTTATGTGTACCTTGGTGATGGTACATCCATGTTCATCTTTGTAGCGATTCAAAGTAGCCATGAGTTGTGGCTTGCTCCTTGTCGTGACAATTCGGAGGATTTCTTCGTGGTTAAACGTCTTTTCTTCAATGGCATTCCGAAGAATGCTCGATTCCGAATTCGCCAATTTCAAGTTCACTTCATCGCCTTGGTACCTATGTATGCTCACCAACCCCACCAGTAGCTGTAACATTATTCAGAGAAAGTTTCAAAACACTTAAACACACCCATTTTCCAGAATAGGCCTCGTAAATTAATCGAAGAAATAGACCGAAGAACTTGCCTTTCGGAGATCTGAAGAGGTATGGGAAGCAATGTCTTCTTCCAACGAACGTTTGTAGCGGCATTGGTAAGCACGCTTGACAGAAAAAAGCTCTTCAGGAGATAGAGTGCACGCTAGTTCGATGATCACCCTATGATCGCGGTTTTCTTTCCGTAGTGCCACGTTTGCCAGCACTGCATCCCGATCCGCCGGTTCCAAATTCCATCGGTACACTGCTCTCTACATGAATCAATCGCGATACGTATTTTATTTATAAAGACACATGCCCAAACAACATACCCTCCGTGGTATCAATTGGTAAGACTTTGGATTCACTACAATCGGCTTCATAAGACATCAGATACATCTAAATATCCTAATAAATTATTTTACATGATTTAAATTTATATGACCAAACAATCGTGTGGTCTTGTGTATTGTTCCCATTAGTCACCTGTTTGAGTCCCCTCCTATCCTAACCGGAGGTTTTCTTGGTTGTTAACTTTACAGCCCGTAAGATCAGTCAAGGTAACCACGTACAGATACTCACAAAAAATATATAGGGGTTTTAGCAACGACTTTTATCATCGCTAAAAGCCAATTTATCGACAGAAATCGTTTATAGAGACGACATATCGTTGCAATAGCTTCTCGCTGAAACTCAGTATACAGAAATACAAGATTGGAAGAGAAAAGAAGATGAATACCTCAAAATCACCGGAGAGTTCATGCTCAAGACGCTTAACAAGATCTTCTTGATAAAGTTCTTGATAAGCTTCTCTTATCAATTTCCTTTGAATTGCATTTCTATGCCCCAATATCGATATTACACTCTTCTCATCAGTCCCCCATCCTTCATAATCAAATACAAAACTAAAAATCATATCGAGATAGACGTAAAATCAAATGAAATATCGAGTTCCTGACTTCAAGATCGAGATATCTGTATTTTTCTTTTGAAGTATATAATATTTATATACGGGAAATGCAACAAATAAACTCACACACTTTCCTCACATTTGGTGAGATTTGGACCCCTAACTTCCTAGGAGACCAATGACTACGATACTGCTAGGCCAAAGGCTCTTTGGTTTAAGATATGTGTATTGCCGGGTTCTAACAAGTAATAATATGTAACAAAGAGATCTTAGATAGGGAGAAGAATTAAACCATGGCAAGCCTTTCGTAGGAGTTCAGCATCGGCAGCAGGAGAGACATCTTCAAAGGCAATAAGGGTGGCCATTCTCTCTCTCTCTCTATCTCTCTCTCTCTCTCTATATATATATATATATATATATATATATATATATGTATATGTTTGGGTTTAATTAATTTGGGTTCATTCAGACAATGGTTGATTCAATTTATAGTGAAGTTAATTATGTTGAAGTTAACGCCCATTTTTCAGTCTTTGCTTTGGTTTCTTCACTTGTTGCTACCTCTTTTCCTAAAAACAAAACAAACTTCTTCCATCTCAAAAATAAAATAAACAAACCATAAGAGTGGTGTCTGATTGGTTTGAGTTTGGCTCCAATACGGTCAAAAGTAACAGGTTCCAGGTTCAAATCCAATGAGAAATAAAAATCTCATTGTGGCCATGGAGGTTTAAATATGGTGATTCCGGGCTATCTGCAAAACAGGTGGTCGCCCTGAGATTAGTGGGCTCGCATAGCGGATTGGATATCCAGGTTAATAAAAAAAAAGAGAATAAAATAGATAAAAAGATTGTTTATGCAAAAACAATGGACTTGTAAAGAAATGATTACAAGAAATTTAACAAGTTTTGAATTGGTTGTTTCTTGATTAAGATTATATATCATTGTAAATCTTAGAGAAATTATGGACTAACAAATGATGAGTGTTTGTAACGGTAGGTATTAGGGTTCGTTTATGCATATCAGACTAAGAAAGGTCTAGAGCCATTACATGTGAACATTCATGATCACAAGAGTTTTGACAGCGTTTAGATTCCAACCCATGAAAGATGAGATTTCCACTATATCGTCACGAGGTTTAACCAATTCATCACAACCCAAGTGGTTAATGTATTTGATTTAACCTTTTAAAAGGATGTGTATAAAGGAAACATAATTCCATTCGATTGTCAATTTGGTACATATTTTTAAAAGTCATGTTTAATAATCTGTAGTCTAAAAATGTCTATTAATGGTTTATAGTATGAAGTCTATTTCGATGCCCTATATTCTAAGGTATGTTTACCAGAGGATTAAAATTATATTTGACAAACTAGCTAATAAGTTAACTGATTGCTGATAAGCTAGCTGATGAACAAATCATGTTTGACAAAAACTAGCTTATAAACATGTAAAATGACCAAAAAAAACATCTTGAAAATTTGGTCAATTACAATATTTTATAATATAATTAAAACAAATTTCTAAAAATATAATATGTTGATTAATACCAAAAAAGATGATAAAAATATATAATATAATATGTTGACTAAAATAATTTTAAATTGATTATTATA